TATATATATATATATAACTAGTTTGGTTTTTCAGATGAATTGATCCAAAAATTTTAAAATCGAGAACCGATAGAAAACTAATTGGACTACACATTTTGGATCAATTAATTTAATGACTAATTAGACTGAACTGTTTTATCCAAATCACATTTGATTTAAGTGGGTAATTAGTCTAGATTGGTTGTGCTCATCCCTACACATGAAAGTTGAAACATGGCACATGACTATCATTATACCATAAAAGCATGTCATGTCACTATTTATTGTAACATATCAACACCTTATATTAGCACCACGTGACATAAAATGATAAATTACATTATAACTAACTACATTTAATCAACCGTTAATTATAAAAGCTAATTTAATAAAAAAAAGCACACAAAATTAATTGAATGTAATAAAAAAATTATTTAAATTTTTTACAATAAAGTAAAAGATTTTTTAGATATTATGCTTAAAAATATTAATCAAATAGAGTCTTAAAGACAAAATCTTCACAGTGGGAAAACCTTGTCAGTTTTGTCTTAAAATAACCAGGAATGAGGAGAGTTTCCTTACAAGACTACCTACATAAAAGTTGTCTTTAATTAGTATGAACTTAGATGATGTGTTTTTGGCAGTCTCATCTTTGTAAGAAATTGCATCTTTGAACTTTCGTCACTGAAATAAAATAACAAGTCGACAAAAGGAGATTTGAAGCAAAGTAATGCAGCACTGGGTTGGAAACTGTTGAATAATACATTTGGTTCCACATTGCTGGGGTCTTTCAAATCAAATGTAAGGTGACAAAGACCCCTGAAAACGAACCCCAAAGCTCATGGCAAAATCTGATTCTTACTAGTCATGCAAAAGGAAACTACAACTGTTTTGAAGCAGCAGATAAAATTCAATTGCTGATCATGCATGCAGTTGCTACACATGGAAAGAGGGGTTGGAAGATCAAAAATCCTTATCACTCCCTCTCCCCATCACGTTTCTGATTCCAAATTATAGCACAACGCTGTCATCTTAATAGACTCATTGTTTTTGGCAGGATGACATTCTCTGTCTCTATGGAGGGAAAGTAATTTTAAAATACATTGCTATCACCTAGTCTTCATGACAGAATAAGATGGTAAACATTAAAGCAAAATGGGTGTTGAATTCAATATACTCAAGTCAAGAGGAAAGGAATGAACCATCTTTTCTGCATGGAAGAACAAATAATTAATTCAAATGAATCTGTTCAATTATGTCCGAAATTACATAGAAACATGACACTAGTGGACCAAGGATAAATTAGGATCAGTGGGGAATTAGAAGGTAATGTTTGCATTGAAGCTATGATTCTTAAACACTAATCATCATCAAAGCTTCTTTAATCTTAATAAAGCTTCTCATGCTTAAACAAATATGGTCACCTTTCCTTCACTAAAGTGAAGCAGAAAAGCTCCAGGATGGAAACTTGGGAATAGAAAAAACTTCGGTTCAGAGGTTGAACTACGAACAAATGGCCATGGACTTCAATTACATTGCACAACAAAGCTTTGAATCAATTGAAGCCAAGCATATACAGAATGCTTGGTAGCCTGTCAATGGATATCTGCATAAGAAAGAAATATAACATATGTTTTAACTTTTCTTCATTCTTGACTTCTAAATGCTTGAGTTAAATGTCAAGATCAAAATATTTTCCTTTAATGCAACACATGAAATTCAGAAACCGGGTTGACTGGTACCTGAAATCCATAACATACTTGTATCTGTCCACTCTGCCAAGCTGCAGAATTGTTTGCCTTCCATTCTCCTAGAATACATAGCCAAGTTAAAATAATTCCATACCCTAATGTAAAAGGGCCTCTAGAATCAAAATCACACAGATATAAGTATACAAGTTCTCTACCACATGCATTCATGTCTGTGATATGTCTTGTGAGTGTTGGTGGTGTGCATGTGTGTGTGTTTTTTTATGACATGAGTATTGTATGTGGATAGCTAACTCTTAATTATGTCGTTCTTAGGACCAAACTCAAGAAATTTATGATACCTCCAATGTCAGCTGAAAATTCTTTACTGAGCTTTGTATTCTGAGTCCAGCTCTTCCCCTATCTCTGAAGTCTAACTCATATTTTTTCAGCATCTGACTCAAATAAAAGCAACTAAATGATTAAGAAACTGAAGTCCAAAACCTCAATTTTGTATGATGTTACACCTTTACAAATTCTTACATTGTTGTAACGAGGAATCCTCGAGTATAACTTGTGAATTTTATCCATTTTCCCCTCCCAGTCCGTAGGTAGTCCACTAATATGTTGCATCTACATAAAAACAAATAGATCATCCAACTTATTTTCTTTGAACTCCATAATAGTTAAAAATAGAAGATACAAAAAATCACAATGGAAGAGTAAAGGATAACTTATTAAGAGGGGAAAACTCATATAAATGAATCTTTTCAAATACCTGAGTCACATTCTTCATCTGCATTGATTGGTGCTTAGGTATATACACCTTCATGCTTCGGTAATTTCCAGTCCAGGTGGCTATGGTTGGCATGAACCTGCAGAAATTATAAAAAGAATAACCACAAAACAGAGAGAGTGAGAGAAAATGACTCAGACAGAGAGTGGATGTTGGACTTACGTTACGACACACAGGAGAGGATTAGACTGTTTGTTCAACGACTTGGTGCAGCCACCCTGCAATCAAGCAAATTATTAACCAATTGAAGTAAGAATTATTTCCCCATCTTTGAATGCCATTTTCCAGAGACTTATAGTACAGTTTAACCTTTTTAGAGATCAAACCTGATCCCATATATTGTATTTTGATCCGATGAGGTTAGCTGTCATGAGTCCAATATAACCATCATCAGAATTAGACAGTATCCCATTTGTATTCTGAGCTATGGAGAACATTGATTTCCCATTCCGTCGCTTGTGATAAGCTACTGCTAGTTTCCGATCCTGTCTTCCTTGACCTTCCTGTTATATTAACATGAAAACAGATCCACATGTAGAAAAGCATATGGTAAATGATTTTTGCACAATCTGAACTTAAATTACCAGTTAATTATTGACAGAAAAGACAAAAAGAAAGAAACAAAAGAATGCTGGAACCGGGAAACAAACCCAGGCAGGAGATTTATAAAGGCAGGCAGAAGTCACAGAGGAAGTGACTGATGAAATCTAGGCAAGGATACCATGATAGCTATTTTATGACTACTTACACTCAGTAATCATTACAAATAAAAACAGTATACTGGTTTTTACAAAAGTTATGACTTGTGAATCTAACACTTTCTGTCAACTAGAAAAGCCAGAAACAATGAATTCATATTCGAATTTTCAGAAACTAATTTGCAGAAAGGAGAACAGAATTTGCAATATCACTTATATGACAACTTGTATTTGACACAACAAAAGAGTCAAAGGATTAAAATAGAAGATCCACAAAAATAGAATAAAAGTATTTTTTGTTTATAGATCCTTCTATATTTTACTATCTTAGAAGATCTATTACATTTTCTTTTAAAGGTTCATAAGTAATTTACTTGGGAAAAATATTTAATTCATACTATACATAATTGCCACCTAGCTTCTCCCGAGTTCAATGTATCTAATTGTTGATCATCATTATCTTTTACCTAACTTGAAACTTGTTACTTTTTCTATGATACCACAAATACAATATACTAAAACTAAAATATTCTCATTTTTTGTTCAATTTTCCCTCATTTTTTATGTTTCATAGAAGATTTTCATTTTAAAACATTTTAGCTATTAAAATTATGTCCTCTTTAGGTTTTGTTTACAACTAGTTAATGGATAATGGGTCTGCAACCAAAAACTTGAGGAAAAACTTGGAGGACAAAGTGCTTTTGAAACTTGCAGCTGTATATTAATCTGCAAGAAGTTTAACTATTGAGTTACAAAGAAACAAATGAAAAGTTTTCTGATTCTAATGAGATAAAAGATAACTACAAACTCAAACACTTGATTGCCTATTCTACGCTTGTCTTAATAAATAAATACTGACTCACATGTATTAAATTTCACTGGACTAAAAAGTAGGATTTCATTAGAATCTCTTTTCATAGTTAGGCAATATTTCTAGTTCATTTTCATGACCTCACTGAGTCAGTGGGGCACCTTTGGCCATTGCCCTGATCAACTACACTGCAAATATTTGTAGTAGACCACTAGTTGTTCAATGTCATGCAGGCAAAGTGCCTTGGAATGAACCATCCAAAAAATACTCCTAAGCAACATAGAATATTGAAAATTTAAATGAATGGATTCTGAGGGCTGATCCAGATGATCAGTATACAGATGTTACTAGAACCCTAGCAAGTCTGATGAGAAAAAAAAATTCCCTCAACAACTCAAAAAAGGTAGGCAAAATTCTTACAAGTCATGGGGATCTTACATTGGTATAAAGTGAATACAGAGTACCACCTGCGAATCCTTCCGGTGAGGGTTCCTTCACAAGAACACAAGTACATCTACCTATGTCCAGTGGCAATGGCCTGCACAACAAGGCCCTATAACAAAAGCCACCAAGCGAAAACGATTGGAAAAGGAAATAAAAAGAAGGATCAGTCACATGTCGATAAATCCAGAATTAGAGTCAAAAGAACTACATATGTAAAACCATGGTCATCATGATTCATTTGATTAAAGGGAATACATTATACAGGCCATCCTTCCCATTTTTCCCACTAAAGACAAGCTTTTCTTTTGTTTACATATACATATCCACTAGACCCTGAGGCTTCAGCTATAAAATGATATACTTTAGAATTAGAGTTTCAAACTTTAACTTTCAGAACGCTCAACATTAGAGTAAAAATATGGATCAGAAAAACTTGTTTAAAAAAAATTACAAGTAAAACCAGTAGGCTATATTCAGACACTAACCTGTTAGGCAATGTAGACCAAGAAGACGCTGGGGCAGCCTCAGAATCTGAATAATCCCAAATGTTCAAAGAATTAGAATTCTCTGAATCAATGGGGTCCCACAACTTGCACCCAAAAGCCTTGTCAGGCTCATTCATTTGCATACAGAACTGAAGGGATGACTCTTTCAAGACCTTCCCGGTAGACAAAGACTTGTAACTTGAAACTTCTTTGGAATTATCAAAAGTACCAATAGTTGACAAAGATTTCAAATGAGTGATCCTTTTAGCCATTGAAGAAGAAGATGACGACGACCCATTATTTGTTGTAGGAGCTGCATTTTCTTTGCCAACACCAAAGAAAACATTTTCTTTGTTGTCTGTAAAGGTTGCATGGTTTCCTTCACTGCAGCTGCGGTTGTGTTTGAGGTCAGTGAGAGGGTTGACATAAGGAGAAGTGTATGAAGCTTGACGCTGAACTAAAGGTTCCTTGAAATCACTCATTTTGCAGTTTGAGAAGGCAAAGACAGATTCAGAATTCTGGGTTTTTGTTAGAAATCTTGAAAACCATTCATTCGTTTGAGAAGGGAAGTAGGAAAGTAAAATCAATGAGAAGGGAGCAGAGCACAAGGCCCACTAGGTGTCAACTACTCCCAAGTACAGCTTTAATCCGGGGCTCAATCCACGTGGCAGAAATCAGGGAGGCGATGGGTTTGTTGTAAAAGAAAAAGGGTTTGAATTTGAAAGGGTATAGGGAAATGTGTGGGTTTGCTGACATTAACGGTAACTATTCAAAGCTCGTTGTCCTTTTGTCTATGAATATGTTGGAAATAGAGAAAGGGGAATGGTTTATTCTACATGGACGAGAAGCGGGAACAGGGTTTCAAACTTTGATTAGGGAGGTAAGCCGCCCGCCTTTCCCATTAGGTGATGCCTATGCTTGAAAATTAAATTTTTATATTTAACAAAATAATAGTAATATATAATAAAATATGTAAATAATTAGAAATAATATTTTATATATTGAAAGTGAAATTTTTAAGCTAAACATACTTATATATGATAATTTAGTTATTATGTTAATTTATATAAAAGGCAATTGTGAGAAATGGTCAACTTATAAGATTATTTGAAAAATAGTTCTTAATATTAGTTAATTGTTTTTACACAATTTTTATTATAATTTGATAATAATACCTTTTAAATCATTTCAAAATAAATTAAATTATTTATTACAATTTTTATTTTTAATTTCTCTTTTCGGCATTTGCCTACTATACTTATAATTTCTCTTTTGCCATTCAACTCTCTTTAATTTTATCAATTTCTTCTCTTTCTCGCATTCATTTATTGTGCTTCCAATTTTTCTATCTTAGAACTCTAATTTTATCGATCTTTTTATCATTTGTCTATTGTCCTCCCCATTTTTTTCTTTCGCCATTCAACTCTCTCTAATTTTATCATTATTGACATTCTTCTTTATTTATTTCCCATCATGTTATCGTCGATTTACAAACCAAAGATAGAAATGACATCAATTTATGTTTTTGGATTTATTAATTTACATCCACAAAACCCTAAAAATAATGAATTGAAATTATATAAATAAAATCTATAAATTAGAATATCACCTAGAGTTGTTGCATGTTATGCCTGTATGTAACAACTTTAATGCATTTTGCGTATAACAAATCTATTGAATATAACATAGTTTAAACATAGTATGTAACTTGATCTCTATCTTTATATTTCATTGAGATATAAAACTTTTAAAGTTAAATAACTTAAACATGATCTGTAATAATTTTTTTTTTCAACATGATATGTAATAAATTTTTTTTTTGTAACTTGGTTTCTATCTTTGTATTTTACTAAGACATAAATTGTTGGAGTTAAACATCTTAAATATGGCATGTAATAATTTTTAACATGACGTATAACAATTTTTTTTTCAACATAACATGTAACTTGGTCTTTATCTCTGTATTTAATTAAGACATAAATTCTTCAAATTAAAATACCTTAAACATGACATGTTATAACTTTTTTTTCTAACATAATATGTAACAATTTTTTAGTTTAACATGGCTTGTAATTTAGTTTTTATCTTTATATTTTACTAAGACATAAACTTTTGAAGTTAAACACTTTAAATATGACGTGTAATAATATTTTTTTTAACATGGTATGTAATATTTTTTTTTAAATATGGCATGTAACAATATTATTTTGGGTAAAATACCCAAACCCTAAAGTTTTAATTGAAATTCCCAATGAATCTTTTAATTTTCGAAATAAACACTTTGTCTAAAAAAAATATCTTTTGTTGAACGCATTAGTACAGCTGTTAGTCAATTGTTAATATTTTCATTAGTTTGATGATGTGATAATATTAAAAAAATAATTTTACTTTTTATTAATTTAAAAAATTACTATTATATAATTTTATTAAGTTTTTATTAATTTAAAAAAACAAGGGTAGGCTTCTTGAGAGAGCATCGGTGCTCCCCTGAGGAGCTCGATCAAGGCTCCCACCTTAAGAGCCCCGGTGTTCCCCTTGGGGAGCCCGATTTGGAGTTGTGCTCCCTTAAAGAGTCTAATCGGGGCTCCCAATGGAGCACCAGATCTAGTGCTTTTTTGAAAAGCCCAATTTAGGTTTCCCTTGGAAAGCTAGATCGGGACTCTCAAGGGTGCACCAAATCTAGTGCACCCTAGAGAATTCAGGGTGGTGATGGACGGTCAGTCGAGGTAAGGGACGCCATCAGCCGGCTTGAGAGCAAAAAATAATATGAAAAAGAAAAAAGGTATTTTAGATATTTTATATTTAATATTAACATCATTTAAACATTTGGGACGAAGTGTTTATTTTGAAAACTAATAGATCTTAGTGTAATTTCGATTAAAACTTAAAAAGGTAAGGGTCTTTTACTTTATTTTTTTTTAAAGATGGTGTATAATTTGGCTTGTATCCTTGTATTTCATTAAGACATAAACTTTTAAATTTAAACACCTTAAACATGACATGTAACAAATTTTTTTTTAATATAATATATAATAATATATTTTTAAAATTTTCTAAATTAATCTTTTCATCGAAACTCTTGCAACAACTGCTAGATACCACCAGTACATTCTTAAGGTTGTAGCTATCAAGGTTTTAGGATGATTATGATAATAACCTTGTTTTTATCTTTTTTTAGTTTTTTAATAATTTAAATATTTTATTGTTAACTTTTATACCTTTTTATTATTGCTATTGAATAGTGATGGTGTTAATTTTTTCTTTATCAAGAAAAAAAAATTCAACACATGTGTTTAAATATAAAAATTTTTCATTAAAGGTAACTTTATTTAAATTTTTTTTTGATTAAAAACAGTTAAAATTAAAAAAATATTTCTAAAAAAAATAAAAAAATTATCCCTATATGTCATATATTATATAAAAAATATTAAATTCAATTTTTTAATTGATTTAGTCTAAAAATTTGAATATTAAAAACCAATCAAATAATGGATTAGACTGAATTTTTTAAACCCATGGACCGAATGCATGGATCAGATCAAACATTTTGATCCAAATTACGCTTAAGTCGTTCGGATCATTGAATTCATTTGGTCCAGTTTTAGTTACTCCTGCCTCTTGATATCAGTGTAAATTATTCATATCCACCAACACTTGGGTTTTTCATTCACCTCTCAATAAACACTTTGTACTCGGACTGTTTCTCACCTCCAATTTCCAAAGTAGTACTCCTTTTTCCCGTCCAGAAGGAAAAAGGGACACCCCGGTTCTCGTCTGGATAGAAACTGATAAGCCCACCCGAGAATCGAGTGGCTCTCACCTCGTTTCTTGTCTCAATAAACCGATAACACTCATCATCATGGCTCCAAAGCCCACCACCAAACCCACCCATCATCATGGCTGCACTTTCTAGCTCCTCCTTCCTTTGCTCGCATTCTTCCAAACCCATTTCTCCAAGACTCACTCTTTTCACTTCCACACTCATCTTTACACCAAAGAAGTCCATCTCCATTGTCATGGCCGCAACTCCAACTACTACAGCTGCCAAGGTTGTGCCCTCAGTGATTGTTGGCGGTGGAAGAGTGGGAAAGGCATTGCAAGATATGGGAAAGGGGGATGATTTGCTGGTGAAGAGAGGTGAACCCGTGCCGCTTGATTTTGAAGGTCCCATTTTGGTTTGTACTAGGAATGATGATCTTGAGTCTGTGCTTGAGGCCACTCCTAAGTCTCGTTGGAACGGTACCACTACCTGATCATACCCTCTATTTGCCCCTTTTGGTTCAATAAAAAAAACAAAACAAATTATCTTTTTATGTGTTTTTGTTTAATTGCTGAGTTCCATGGATAATTATGAAGAAAGCCCCTTTTTTTTTCTTTATAACAGTTTAATAATTCAATAAAGTTTGGAGCTTTTATGTGACTGTTTAAGAATGCTCTTTTCCTTGTTGGTGTTTCAATGAACTTTCCAGTGGATGTTTAATAAGTCAGTGTCCGTTGGTGAGATTTAGATTTGTTAGTCATGCTTAGCATATCTTTGTTCTATCTCGTCATCAAGAATTTCTGCAGGATTCTCACTGCTTACTGTATTACTTAAACATAGAGCTTAATAATGATTTCAATTTTGAACTGGTTTACAACTTGATCTTGAAGTCACTGGCTGAAAACGGGGTTCTTACAGAATACGATTGCATAGCTCAATTACATTTTTATTTGTACATGATTTGGATATTAAAATGACTTGATCATGATGCATTATTCTGCGGAAAATTTCTTATATTATGTCCTTTGTCATTTTTGAATTACTTGAATATATAAATGCAATATTTACCCCTGGTATGGACTTTGTCTTTATTCACTGCAACTTTGTTAATTCAATTGTTTTCGAAAATGATTTGATCATCCATTGGGTATTGACAATCTAGCAGATTTGGTGTTTTTCCAGAATGGCATGCTGGAGCCATGGCTTCAAAGTAAAGGTCTTAATGATGCAGACCAAGTGCTGGCATATTTTGCTGTATCAAAACTTGGGGAACCTCCTGTTGATGGGAAGACTGACACAAATCCTGAAGGTCTAACAGCAGCATATGGGAAATGGGCATCTGCTATAGCTACTAGATTGCATGCTGGAGGCCTCTCTTGCAAGGTAAAAGAAACATTTTCATTGTTATCCTTCAAAAAGGCGCACCAATGGCTTTGAACTTTTGCTTGATGCACAAGTCTTTGCTCAAACTTCTCAACTTCTCTTTGGTTGTATGCTATCCATGAAATTAGGGTATTGAATCTGTTCAATTTCGCTATTAATGTTGTTTGACTACCATTGTTAACTTTCAGGGAAAAGATGGTTAAATCTCGACTTAGGACTTTGCTCCAAAGTTCAATCCAGGATTTGACACTGTGTTAACTATTCTAAGTCTTTCTATCTGGCTAAGTATGACACGTGATAGGAGCCATGTGACTATAATTGACACGAGTTACCTGACATATCTCACGTTGAATATTTGAAAATCATCATGTTGCCCCCTTTACTTCCTTCTCAAGCATGTCTGGACTTACCCCATTTTCACTTTAAACATTCATCTGTTTCTCTCTCTCCTTACTCTCCCCCATGGCCCTGGCGTTCCCCCTCTC